GCAGTGGAGAAGGTAGAAAGCTTCAAGTTCCTTCGTGTACACATCACTGACAAACTGAAATGGTCCACCCATGCAGACAGTGTGGTGAAGAAGGCGCAACAGAGCCTCTTCAACCTCAGGAGGCTGAAGAAATTTGGCTTGGCACCTAAAACCCTCACAAACTTTTACAGATGCAGAATTGAGAGCATCCTGTCGGGCTGTATCACCACCTGGTACGGCAACTGCACCGCCCGCAACCGCAGGGCTCTCCAGAGGGTGGTGCGGTCTGCCGAACGCATTATCGGGGGCAAATTACCCACCCTCCAAGACACATACAGCACCCGATGTCACAGGAAGGGCAAAACGATCATCAAGGACATCGACCACCCGAGCCACTGCTGGTTCACCCCACTATCACCCAGAAGGTGAGGTCAGTACAGGTGCATCAAAGCTGGGGCCAAGAGAATGAAAAACAGCTTCTATCTCAAAGCCATCAGACTGTTAAATAGCCATCACTAGCACATTAGAGGCTGCTGCTGCCTATTGAAATCACTGGCCACTTTAAGAAATGGAACACTAGTCACTTTAATAATGTTTACATATCTTGCACTACTCATCTCATATGTATATAATGCATTCTATTCTATAATATTCTACTGTATTTTAGTCCATGCCGCTCTGTCATTGCTTGTCCATATATGTATATTTTCTTAAATTCCATTCCTTACTAGTTTTTCTGTGTATTAGGTATATGTTGTGAATTCTTAGATATTACTTGTTAGATATTACTGCACTGTCGGAGCTAGAACGACAAGCATTTCGCTACACCCGCTATAACATCTGCTAAACATGTGTATGTGACAAATACAATTTGATTTGATTTGATTTGGAGTGTTTACGGACATATTCAATCTATGCCTATCCCAGTCTGTTGTCCCCAGTTGCTTCAACATGTCCACCATTGTTCCTGTACCCAAGAAAGCAAAGGCAACTGAACTAAATGACTATCGCCCCATAACTCTCACTTCTGTCATCATGAAGTGCTTTGAGAGGCTAGTTAAGGATCATATCACCTCTACCTTACCTGACACCCTAGACCAATTTCAATTTGCTTACCGCCCCTATAAATCCACAGACGATGCAATCGCTATCGCACTGCACACTGCCCTATCCCATCTGGACAAGAGGAATACCTATTTAAGAATGCTGTTCATTGACTATTGCTCAGCCTTCAACACCATAGTACCCTCCAAGCTTATCATTAAGCTCGGGGCCCTGGGTCTGAACCCCGCCCTGTGCAACTGGGTCCTGGACTTCCTGACGAGCTGCTCCAGGCAGTGAAGGTAGGAAATAACACCTCCACTTCGCTGATCCTCAGCACAGGGTCCCCACAAGGGTGTGTGCTCAGCCCCTTCCTGTACTCCCTGTTCACCAATGACTTTGTGGCTACGCACGCCTCCAACTCAATCATCAAGTCTGCAGACGACACAACAGTAGTAGGCCTGATTACCAACAATGACGAGACAGCCTACAGGGAGGAGGTGAGGGCCCTGGCAGAGTGGTGCCAGGAAAATATCCTCTCCCTCAATATCAACAAAACGAAGGAGCTGATCGTGAACTTCAGGAAACAGCAGAGGGAGCACGCCCCTATCCACATCATCTGGACCGCAGTGGAGAAGCTGAAAAAGCTTGAAGTTCCTCGGCGTACACATCACTTACAATCTGAAATGGTCCACCCACACAGACAGTGTGGTGAAGAAGGCGCAACAGCGCGTCTTCAACCTCAGGAGGCTGAAGAAATTTGTCTTAGCCCCTAAGACCCTCACAAACTTTTACAGAGGTTCATGCTCTACAACATTCGCAGAGTACGACACTACCTTACACAGAAAGCGGCACAGGTCCTAATCCAGGCACTTGTCATCTCCCGTCTGGATTACTGCAACTCGCTGTTGGCTGGGCTCCCTGCCTGTGCCATTAAACCCCTACAACTTATCCAGAACGCTGCAGCCCGTCTGGTGTTCAACCTTCACAAGTTCTCTCATGTCACCCCGCTCCTCCGCACACTCCACTGGCTTTCAGTTGAGGCTCGCATCTACTACAAGACCATGGTGCTTGCCTACGGAGCTGTGAGGGGAACGGCACCTCCTTACCTTCAGGCTCTGATCAGACCCTACACCCAAACGAGGGCACTACGTTCATCCACCTCTGGCCTGCTAGCTCCCCTACCTCTACGGAAGCACAGTTCCCGCTCAGCCCAGTCAAAGCTATTCGCTGCTCTGGCACCCCAATGGTGGAACAAGCTCCCCCATGACACCAGGACAGTGGAGTCACTGACCACCTTCCGAAGACACTTGAAACCCTACCTCTTTAAGGAATACCTGGAATAGTATAAAGTAATCCTTCTTCCCCCACCCCCCATATTTTTTTTTTTTAAAGGTGGTTGTCCCACTGGCTATCATAAGTTGAATGCACCAATTTGTAAGTCGCTCTGGATAAGAGCGTCTGCTAAATTATGTAAATGCAAAATGTAAATGTATTTAGAATTCAAGGCACACTTAACCAGCATGGCTACCAGACCATTCTTCATTGATACACCATCCCATCTGGTTTGGGCTTAGTGGGACTATCATTTGTTTTTCAACAGGACAATGACCCAACACACCTCCAGGCTATGTAAGGGCTATTTTACCAAGAAGGAGAGTGATGGAGTGCTGCTTCAGATGACCTGGCCTCCACAATCACCCAACCTCAACCCAATTGCGATGATCTGGGATGATTTGGACCGCAGAGTGAATGAAAAGCAGCCAACAAGTGCGCATCATATGTATGAACTACTTCAAGACTGTTGGAAAAGCATTCCAGGTGAAGCTGGTTGAGAGAATGCCAAGAGTGTGCAAAGCTGTCATCAAGGCAAAGGATGGCTACTTTGAATAATCTCAAATATAACTTTTTTGGTTACTACATGATTCCATATGTTTCATTTCATAGTTTTGAATAACAGATTCACTACATGGAACAACAAATATTCCCCCCCAAAATAAAAAGGAATTGTTCTGAGGTGTCCGTCCTATATCTGGGAGATAAGAAAAAGCATGATTTTATTTAATTTTTAATGTACTTAACCCCTCATTTTCCCTTATAAAGTAAGCAAACACGTTTGGTGTTCGCCAAAAGGCATGTGGGAGACTCCCCAAACATATGGAAGAAGGTACTCTGGTCAGATGAGACTAATATTGAGCTTTTTGGCTATCAAGGAAAACGCTATGTCTGGCGCAAAACCAACACCTCTCATCACCCCGAGAACACCATCCCCACAGTGAAGCATGGTGGTGGCAGCATCATGCTGTGGGGATGTTTTAATCTAATTTAGAATCTGTGGTATGACTTAAAGATTGCTGTACACCAGCGGAACCCATCCAAATTGAAGGAGCTGGAGCAGTTTTGCCTTTAAGAATGGGAAAATGCTAAGGGGGTGAATACTTTCGCAAGCCACTGTATATACAGTTGAAGTCGCAAGTTTACATACACCTTAGCCAAATACATTTAATCTCAGTTTTTCACAATTCCTGAGATTTAATCCTAGTAAAAATTCCCTGTCTTAGGTCAGTTAGGATCACCACTTTATTTTAAGAATGTGAAATGTCAGAATAATAGTATAGAGAATGATTTATTTCAGCTTTTATTTATTTCATCACATTCCCAGTGGGTCAGAATTTTATATACACTCAATTGGTATTTGGTGGCATTGCCTTTAAATTGTTTAACAAACGATTCGGGTAGCCTTCCACAAGTTTCCCACAATAAGTTGGTAGAATTTTGGCCCATTCCTCCTGACAGAGCTGGTGTAACTGAGTCAGGTTTGTAGGCCTCCTTGCTCGCACACGCTTTTTCAGTTCTGCCCACACATTTTCTATAGCATTGAGGTCAGGGCTTTGTGATGGCCACTCCAATACCTTGACTTTGTTGTCCTTAAGCCATTTTGCCACAACTTTGGAAGTATGCTTGGGGTCATTGTCCATTTGGAAGACCCATTTACGACCAAGCTTTAACTTTCTGACTGATGTCATTAGATATCCACATAATTTTCCTTCCTCATGATGCCATCTTTTTTGTGAAGTGCACCAGGCCCTCCTGCAGCAAAGCACCCCCACAGCATGATGCTGCCAACCCCATGCTTCACGGTTGGGATGGTGTTCTTCGGCTTGCAAGCGTTCCCCTTCTTTTCCTCCAAACATAACGATGGTCATTATGGCCAAACAGTTCTATTTTTGTTTCATCAGACCAGAGGACATTTCTCCAAAAAGTACGATCTTTGGCCCCATGTAGAGTTGCAAACCGTAGTCTGGCTTTTTTTTTGGCGGTTTTGGAGCAGTGGCTTCTTCCTTGCTGAGCGGCCTTTCAGGTTATTTCGATATAGGACTCGTTTTACTGTGGATATAGATACTTTTGTACCTGTTTTCTCCAGCATCTTCACAAGGTCCTTTGCTGTTGTCCTGGGATTGATTTGCACTTTTCGAACCAAAGTACGTTCGTGTTTATACTTGCGTACTATTGTTTGTTCAGATGAACATGGGACCTTCAGACGTTTGGAAATTGCTCCCAAGGATGAACCAGACTTGTGGAGGTCTACAATTTATTTTCTGACGTCTTGGCTGATTTATTTTGATTTTCCCATGATGTCAAGCAAAGAGGCACTGAGTTTGAAGGTAGGCCTTGAAATACATCCACAGGTACACCTCCAATTGACTCAAATGATGTAAATTAGCCTATCAGAAGCTTCTAAAGCCATGACATAACTTTCTGGAATTTTCCAAGCTGTTTAAAGGCACAGTCAACTTAGTGTATGTAAACTTCTGACCCACTGGAATTGTGATACAGTGAATTATAAGTGAAATAATCTGTCTGTAAACAATTGTTGGAAAAATTACTTGTGTCATGCACAAAGTAGATGTCCTAACCGACTTGCCAAAACAATAGTTTGTTAACAAGACATTTGTGGAGTGGTTGAAAAACAAGTTTTAATGACTCCAACCTAAGTATATGTAAACTTCCGACTTCAGCTGTATATAGTATATAAAAACTAAAAATAGTTAAGTTCAATACGGTTTTGTAAGCACAGAAATCCAAAAAGAAAAACACTGAAAAGTGAAATGAATAATGTTGAAGGGCTTCAGACACTAATGGACACTTTAATGTTAATGGCTTGCAATCCATCGTGACTACCTGATTTCCTCAGATTCCATATGCCCATATACAGAATGATTACAGTAGCTCATATCTTGATACCATTGTCCCAGTCAGATATTCTTGTAGGGCATGTCAAAATTGGCATTTTCAGCAACAGCATTGTAGTATTCAGGCATCTCCACAGAGACCCCACTATCCACATGGTAAAGTTTGTCCTCTGGTACATCAGTCAACACATTGTATGGGTTGTCCTCACACAGAGCGCTGATCTGATCATACTTCTCTTGTAGAGGAGAGGTGATCTGCGAGGCCAGGTAGGTGTATTGATGAGAATCAGTCAGGTGCTGTGGGGGAGACGAACTGTCAGCCAATCAACCATCCAACGAATGGATGGATGGGTGGGTGAATAGATGGATGGATTGATTAATTAATTAATTGAACACAAACTCACACACACGTGCACCAGTTACGCAGGGACGCACACATGCACCCATGCACACACACACACGTACGCATGTGCACACACACACGTACATAAGTGCACACACATACGCATGCGCACACACACGCACACACACAGTACCTGTTTCAATTGCTCAGGCAGCTTAACCTTGGGATGGAGGAACCTTCTCCCTTTGTAGATGATCCAGGGGACTAGGAGGAGTAGTGGGAAAGCCACAGCCACTGTCACCAAACTGACCACCAGGCCCTCAGACAGCCTTCGCTCCCCATCTACAGCACAGACACAGGTGGACACCAGTGAGAATGACCCTCAGAAACTGAACTGATGGCACAGATTATGGAAATGAGTGTTTTGCTGAGGCAGTTTCAGTTCCGTTTGCAACAATGAACATAATTGCTATTTGGTATCATCAAATTATGAAGGGGTTGAGGGGGTGGAGAGGGAGGATATAGAAAAAGTGGAAGAAAGGGGGGAAGGGTGTGTGAGGGAGAAGGGACAAGCGGTGGAGGAGGTGGAGAGCTCACCTGTGGTTGTGTTGATCGGTGTGCTCATCACACACGCGTCCTTGCTGTACTGCCCCGTATTGTTGTGCGGCATCGGTATGTACACCTGGACCTGAATGCAGTATCTAGTGTTGGGCTCCAGTGGCTTCAGCTTAACACGTTGCTCAGTCACCCTCTCTCTCTCAAACACCTGTGATAACACATTGAGTTAGTGTATGTGTGTGAATGAGTGAGTGAGAGAGTGAGTTGTGAGTGGGTGAGAGAAAGAGTGGGAGTGTGTGTGTGTTTGTTTTTGTGTGTGTATATACACTGGGTGTATAAACATTAGGAACACCTGCTCTTTCCATGACATAGACTGACCAGGTGAATTTAGGTGAAAGCTATGATCCCGTACTTGTGAAATCCATTTCAATCAGTGTGGATGAAGGGGAGGATATAGGTTAAAGAAGGATTTGTAAGCCTTGAGACAATTGAGACATGGTTTGTATACGGTGCGTTCGGAAAGTATTCAGACCCCTTTTGTTTTTCCACATTTTGTTAAATAAAACATTTTCCTCATCAATCTACACACAATACCCCATAATGACAAAGCAAAAACACGTTTTTAGACATTTTTGCAAATTTATGAAAAGTAAAAACATTTACATAAGTATTCAGACCCTTGAGACTCCATTGATCATCCTTGAGATGTTTCTACAACTTGATTGGAGTCCACCTGTGGTAAATTCAATTGATTGGACATGATTTGGGAAGGCACACAACTGTCTATATAAGGTCCCACAGTTGACAGTGCATTTCAGAGCAAAAACCAAGCCATGAGGTTGAAGGAATTGTCCGTAGATCTCCGAGACAGGATTGTGTCATGGCAAAGATCTGGGGAACGGTACCAAACATTTTCTGCAGCATTGAAGGTCCCGAAGAACACAGTGGCCTCCATCATTCTTAAATGGAAGAAGTTTGGAACCACCAAGACTCTTTCTAGAGCTGGCCACCCGGCCAAACTGAGCAATCGGGGGAGAAGGGCCTTGGTCAGGGAGGTGACCAAGAAGCCGATGGTCACTCTGACAGAGCTCCAGAGTTCCTCTGTGGAGATGGGAGAACCTTCCAGAAGGACAACCATCTTTTCAGCACTCCACCAATCAGGTATGTTTGTTAGAGTTGCCAGATGGAAGCCACTCCTCAGTAAAAGGCACATGACAGCCCGCTTGGAGTTTGCCAAAAGGCACCTAAAGGACTCTCAGACCATGAGAAACAAGATTCTCTGGTTTGATGAAAGTGTCACATCTGGAGGAAACCTGGCACCATCCCTACGGTGAAGCATGGTTGTGGCAGCATCATGCTGTGGGAATGTTTTTCAGCGGCAGGGACTGGGAGATTAGTCAGGATCGAGGGAAAAATGAACTGAGCAAAGTACAGAGAGATCCTTGATGAAAACCTGCTCCAGAGCGCTCAGGACCTCAGACTGGGGTGAAGGTTCACCTTCCAACAGGACAATGACCCTAAGCACACAGCCAAGACAACGCAGGAGTAGCTTCGGGACAAAACTCTGAATGTCCTTGAGTGGCCCAGCCAGAGCCTGGACATGAACCCGATCGAACATCTCTGGAGAGACCTGAAAATAGCTGTGCAGCGACGCTCCCCATCCAACCTGACAGAGCTTGAGTGGATCTGCAGAGAAGAATGGGAGAAACTCCCAAAATACAGGTGTGCCAAGCTTGTAGTGCCATACCCAAGAAGACTTGAGGTAGTAATCGCTGCCAAAGGTGTTTTCAACAAAGTACTGGGTAAAGAGTCTGAATACTTATGTAAACATTTCTAAAAACCAGTTTTTGCATCGTCATTATTGGGTATTGTATGTAGATTGATGAGGGGGAATAAACGATTTAATCAATTTTAGAATAAGGCTGTAACATAACAAAATGTGGAAAAAGTCAAGGGGTCAAAATACTTTCCGAATGCACTATATGTGTGCCATTCAGAGCTTGAATGGGCAAGACAACAGATTTAAGTACCTTTGAACAGGGTATGGTACTAGGTGCCAGGCGCACTGGTTTGAGTGTCTAGAACTGCAACGCTGCTGGGTTTTTAATGCTCAACATTATTTTCCCGTGTGTATCAAGAATGTTCCACCACACAAAGGACATCCAACCAACTTGACACAACTGTGGGAGGCATTGGACTCAACGTGGGCCAGAATCCCTGTAGAACACTTTCGACACCTTGCCCCAACAAATTCAGGCTGTTCTGAGGGCAAAAGTTTGTGCAATATTAAGAAGGTGTTCCTAATGTTTTGTACACTCAGTGTACACATTATGTGTGTGTGTGTGTATGTGTTTGTGTGTGTTAGACTATTATATGTCGCTCTTACATCCTTCTTGTCAGTATTCTTCCAGTATCTGATATTGTATTCCACTTTGCTGTAGGCTTCTTTCAGCGATGAGATCTTTAGCACCGGATTCTGAATGTTCACCTCTACAGCTCCTATAGCTCCTCCCTTGGTGACCAAGGTTACGTTTGGAGGACCAATGACGGCTGAGGAGACACAATACAGGAAGTCAAAGATATGACGTTGAGAATGAGAGAGCTACAATGAACAGTCTCACAAAAGTGCATATTGGTACTCACTTTCTTTCTTAAGAGAGAAGTTTGGGGTTTCCGCCCAGCTGGAGGTATTTCCCTTTAACTCTGTCCTCACTCTGAATTGATAATTTCCATGGCAACTAGGAAGTTCGCCGAAGTCACACCTGTGCTCTTTGGTGGCTTTACACACGGTGTGGAAGAAAGCCGTTGAAGGCTTTCTGAGTATCAGACAATAAAAAGAGGTTAACATTGTAATTACATTTCTTTGTTGCATCGATGTGTAATAACATTGCCTTTTATGTTGCTTACTATTAAGTAGAGAGGAGAAAACACACAGCTGATTTGGCAAGGTATTCGAAAAGAACATAACACGTAAATAATGTAGCTACAAACTCAATAGCTCTGATGCAATTGATTCATTAGACAGGAAAACCCTTTCATTCTCTTAGTTTCTCTTAGTGTGATGTTACTACCTGTTTTATAAAAATCAAAAAGGTTTTGTTTTTTTGCAGGTGTGTGTGTGTCTTGTTCTCTTCCAGAAAAGGTGGAACTTTTTTAGTTCCTATACTGCGTGTGTGGTCATATCAATGCCCTGTCATTGTTCACAACTTCCCCTCTCAGTGAAGTTCCTCATACACCATGAAGGAACCAATGGGATGCTTGAGGGAGGGCGTTCCTGCAGATGCAAGAATGCCCAGATGCAGGAATGCCCCGAATTGCAGACCGCAGTTGGACCTCGGTGGCTCAGTGCAGTCAATCAAAATAATACAAATATAATAATCTTGCGATTTAAAGCTACGGAGACAATTTCAGAATATAACAGGCTGTTAGTACAATTTCAGGTAAAAACTCTATAACAAAAAAAGTCTAAAAAATAAGAAACATGTACATGTCTGTACATTACAGCTGTTTCAAAAACATTGCTATGCTATTACAATTTTTACTGTAAGAGTGTTGGCTCAACGAGACATTTCTGTTTACACTGCCCTGCTTACAGGGGGGCAACTGTCGGGAGTGTCGTGCGCTACCTCCGGAGGTAGCGGTTGAGATGTGACAAGTTCGAAAGTATACATTGTAGTATATGTGTAGCCAAGGGTATTTTTGCGAAAAGTATAGTAAGTGTGAACAACCTCTAAATATACTATCAAAGACAAAACACTTAAACCAGAGGTATTTTGTGTTGGCATTCTTGTGTATGTGTGTGTCATACAAATGTATGATCTTAATTTGAGCCAGTCTCCTACAGCAGGAAAATAATCCTGCAGCAATATAAAATGGGAATTATTATGTGCATTATAATTCATGGACATTTTTGAGCGGGAAAATCAAGTCTGAAATTTCAAAGTGGAAATTACAAACTTTAGAAGCATTTTTAGGCTGTTGCAGGAGAAAGTTCTCCTGCAACAGGGTGATCAAATTAAGATCCTACATCTGTATATGTGTGTGTGTGTGTTTTGCTTTTCTATTTGCTCTGGTAAATAGTCAGTCTCTAGTCCAGTGTAGTCCAGGATGCTGCTGAGTGTTTGTGTGCTGACTGAGTGGAATGGATGTACCAGTCTAAATGCCTCTGAGACACTGCAGGAGGAAAACTGCATCCAGAATGAGCAACACCCTCTTCATCTGTTTTTTTATCCTGTGTGTGTGTGTGCATGCATGTCTCACCTGTATTCAGCTGTGTAGGTAAGGTGTCTCAGTGAACTAAGGGGAGCGTCCCACGTAACTATGGCATCCATGTTGTTAGAGACCACCTCAACGTTTTGTGGTTGAGGCAGAAGTAACTCCGCTATAGAATGAAACAAACAAACACTCAGTTGATTACCAGAATTAGACTGAGACAGAAAGACAGTATTCAGATACAAGAGTCCAGTGAGATGAAATAACACTCAAATACAAGTTCGCAAGTTTACATATTAGTACACTACCGTTCAAAAGTTTTGGGTCGCTTAGAAATGTCCTTGTTTTCGAAAGAAAATCATTTTTTTTGTCCATTAAAATAACATCAAATTGATCGGAAATACAGTGTAGACATTGTTAATGTTGTAAATGGCTATTGTAGCTGGAAACGGCAGATTTTTTAATGGAATATCTACATAGGCATACAGAGTCCCATTATCAGCAACTATAAGTCCTGTGTTCCAATGGCACGTTGTGTTTGCTAATCCAAGTTTATCATTTTAAAAGGCTAATTGATCATTAGAAAACCCTTTTGCAATTATGTTAACACAGCTGAAAACTGTTGTGCTGATTAAATAAGCAATAAAACTGGCCTTCTTGAGACTAGTTGAGTATCTGGAGCATCAGCAATTGTGGGTTCGATTACAGGCTCAAAATGGCCAGAAACAAATAACTTTCTTCTGAAACTCGTCAGTCTATTCTTGTTCTGAGAAATGAGTGCTATTCCATGCGAGAAATTGCCAAGAAATTGAAGATCTCGTACAACGTTGTGTACTACTCCCTTCACAGAACAGCGCACAACTGAGCAAGAGGACAAATACATTAGAGTGTCTAGTTTGAGAAACAGGCGCTTCAACTGGCAGCTTCATTAAATAGTACCCGCAAAACACCAGTCTCAACGTTAACAGTGAAGAGGTGACTCCGGAATGTTGACCTTCTAGGCAGAGTTGCAAAGAAAAAGCCATATCTTAGACTGCCCATCTTTAATCTTTTATTTTTATTGGCCAGTCTGATATATGACTTGTGTGTGTGTAGACTGACAAGTTTCAGAATAAAGTTATTTGTTTCTGGCCATTTTGATCCTGTAATCGAACCCACAATTGCTGATGCTCCAGATACTCAACAAGTCTCAAGAAGGCCAATTTTATTGCTTCTTTAATCAGCACAACAGTTTTCAGCTGTGCTAACATAATTGCAAAAGGGTTTTCTAATGATCAATTAGCCTTTTAAAATGATACACTTGGATTAGCAAACACAACGTGCCATTGGAACACAGGACTGATGGTTGCTGATAATGGGCCACTGTACACCTATGTAGATATTCCATAAAAAATCAGCCGTTTCAAGCTACAATAGCCATTTACAACATTAACAATGTCTACACTGTATTTCTGATTAATTTTATGTTATTTTAATGTACCAAAAAATTGCTTTTCTTTCGAAAACAAGGACATTTCTAAGTGATCCCAAACTTTTGAACGGTAGTATATTTGTGTAGCCGAGGGTATTTTTGCGAAAAGTCTAGTAAGTGTGAACAACCTCTAAGTATACTATCAAAATACTTTCAATTACATATTCAAGCACAGGTCTGATAGAACTTGGTAATACCAAGACAGAGACAACATAAAGTTAAACAGTGACACCGCAACAATGATAATACTGTATCTAGGCTACAATAAGTTAAGGCCTGAAAACACAAACCTGAAATGAATCGAAATCCCAGAGTGATAAGAAGATAAAATGCCATCACATTGTGCTGTGGTTTGTTCCAATTGTAACAACGACTGTAAGTCATGCTGGATAAGAGTGTCTGCTAAATTACCAAAATGTAAAAATGCAACAGGAAGAAACTGATAACTGCTCTTTTATGGGCAGGCATAGTGAAGAAAGAAGAACAATCTTGTTTCCTCATTGGCACTGAGACAGTTGCCCTGTTCCAAATAATGTATTATCATTGTGTAGGCCACTGATGTTGATCTACCATTATTATACTGATGAGTAGGCCGCCAAACAATTAATTATAATCTGAAAGTACATACATTTTTCACGTGCTCCACCACAAACTGTCATAAACAAATCTCACAAAAATCTGAGACTGCAAGCTCCTGGTTACTATCCAATCAAAGCCACATTGACACTACCACCAATGGTTAGCCACAATTGGCTTAAAAAGCCAAACGTAACATAATATCTGCCAACTCATTTCCAGCAATATTGCCCCTGCCTGTGTGATGCGCACGTCTGTCTATCATTACGTGTAACCAGTTAGCGATGCTCATGATTACCGTCTTGTGGGTAGACAGAAAGGTTTTCCTTAAAACTTTCTCAAATAAATGTTTACTTCAAAGTAGGCCTACCTGACAGAATTATGTAATTATTATTTGTATCAATCGGGTGTGCACTTGTTTTGCAAACTCTGCCATCACATGTGCAGTTGCAGTAGCAGTACAGAAACATTGTTAGACAAACACATTCCTCTCTCGCTAGGTGTGCACTTGAAATAAAGGGGAATTTCACACACAAATCAAAAATTGTTAGCTTTTTCCAGTTTCTGAGTTATTTATTCACCATTATTTGACCAGGTATATTGACAGAAAACACATCTCTTGTACAGCAAGGACCTGGGGAAGAATTGCAGGGGAGAGGAGAAGAGAAGAATGTGCCTATTTGAAAGCTAGAAAAAACAAAAAACTAATGAGTAGCTTGCAACATGTTTAATTTTATAAAAATAGCTCTCATGCTAGAAAAGGTTGGAGACCCCTGGTCTAGTTGGTCTAGATCTATAGGGGTTGTCTCCCGAGTGGCGCAGTGGTCGAAGGCACTGCATCGCAGTACTAGCTGTGCCACTAGAGATCCTGGTTCGAATCCAGGCTCTGTCGTAGCCGGCCGCGACCGGGAGACCCATGGGGCGGCGCACAATTGGCCCAGGGTAGGGGAGGGAATGGCTGGCAGGGATTTAGCTCAGTTGGTATAGCATGGCGTTTGCAACGCCAAGGTTGTGGGTTCGTTTCCCATGGGGGGCCAGTATAAAAAAATTGAAAAAAATAATAATAATGTATGCACTCACTAACTGTAAGTCGCTCTGGATAAGAGTGTCTGCTAAATGACTAAAATGTAAATGTTAGGGGCTAAGGAGTAAGGGGTAGTTTCTAGTTGTATTAGTCCAAGGAAATGCTTACTTTCAGGTTTCTTCTTGACAATGCAACAACAATAAGAAATAAGAAAATATAGTAGAATAGAATAAACATTTTAGCTTAAGTATAATACAGGAAGGCACAATTTATAGTTTAATATTTACATGTGTATTGGGGAAAGGGGCGATAGGGAGCAGTGTATAAACTGAGCAGTAAAATAAGAGTCTGGTAGCAGCAGTTGTGATGTGTTTGTAGCATGAATGTATATGTGTGAGTGTGTGTGTGTCTGTGCGTGTATGTGTCTGTCTGTGTGGGTGTGTGCATGAGTGAGTGCATGTATGCTAAGGTGCGGAGAATCAGAGCAAGTGGTCAGTCCAGTTGGTATCAGACCTCATGCTCCGATACCGTCTGCCCGACAGTAAGGGAGAGAACAGCTTGTGGCTGGGGTGTGTGGGGTCCTTGATGATAATGTGTGCCTTCCTCAGGCACCGTTTCAAGTAGATTTCCTAAATGGGTGGAAGCACAGTCCCAGTGATGTAGGGGATAGGGACTAGTGACTAGGGACTAGGGGCAGGTAGGGGGGGGGGGGGGGGGGGGGGGGGGGGGGTTGGGATTGGGCTGGTGTGTCAAAGAGCAATTTACAAATGATGTAAAAAGATAGCATAGAATAAAATGCAAAAAACTGTTGGGCGAGTGTTGTCTGATTGAAGCTGTTGGTACATGGTAACAGTAAATGCCAAGTGATGTATCACAATGTAAAATCTTTGCACTATATTTGTGAGCGTGGCGGCTGCTGAAATGACATTTACATTTACATTTTTGTCATTTAGCAGACGCTCTTATCCAGAGCGACTTACAGGAGCAATTAGGGTTAAGTGCCTTGCTCAAGGGCACATCGACAGATTTTTCACCTAGTCAGCTCGGGGATTAGAACCAGCGACCTTTCGGTTACTGGCACAACGCTCTTAACCACTAAGCTACCTGCCGCCCCGAGCATACACTCGCCCACACACCCACGTACACACACACACACACACACACACACACAATATGGACACATGGGGAGTTGGGGACGGTTGCATACTGTGTGTTTGAATAATGTTTGAATAATGTTGACAGCCATGAGAGAAAAATCTGATCAGAGAAAAGAGAGAAAGACATAAAATACCTGTGTTACTGTAACTGTAATGTAAAAGTGAGTTTGTGTGTGTGTGTGTGTGTGTGTGTGTGTGTGTCTGTGTGTGTGTGCGTGTGCGTGTGTGGGCGAGTGAACCTACTTGTCACTTCAGCATCTGCCACATTTAGAAATAAATAGAATGCAAACCTTTTACCGGTGTGCACATGGTCCTGGAGTTTAAATTTTGCAGTTATTCAATAAATCCCCCAGAGGGCAGTACAACCCTACATTTAATCACAGACAACTACATATTCTGCAATACAGAACAAAGTCTGTCACTTTTCCCTTTGGATGATGTGTCACGATCTCATTACTGAGTTGTGACACAGGATTGTGACATTGATGTGCTTGAGTGGGAATGGAGAGTTTCATCTGATTACAAAATCTTACTCTTGCTATATCGGCATCTGGTCTAACACTCTCCCAAAGCTGTGACTACAATAAGCTTGACCCCAGGCAGCCAGAGATTACATTTCCCCAACTACTCAGGCACAGACCCAGCTAAAGTAAGCCTTGATCCCCTCACCCCTCCCTCAGGAATTAAACAACCAGGCAACTGAGGCAAGAGGAGGCACCTTTTCTCTCAGTGGATGAAAAGATCAAACATTTGAACCCCCTCCAATTCCCCTCTGTCTCTATCTGCACCTCTATCTGGCTTCTCTTCTTCTCCCTTTTTCCCCTCTCTCTATCTCTCTTTAAGTAACACGCACGCACACGCATCTCATGCACATACACACACACAGCACCTGACAGAAAACCTGCAGCTTCTGTTTACCTATATAGAGGCTTACCTCGGGTATCAAACACATCAAACATATGGAAACCACATGTTTAAACAAACATTAACATTTACATTTTATATTTTAGTCATTTAGCAGACACTCTTATCCAGAGCGACTTACAGGTAGTGAGTGCGTACATT